ACTTTTTGGGGGGCCATATATAATGTGGTCATGAAGGTTGAACAAATGACACAAAGTATTGATGACAAATAATCTGTTCAAATTCAATTTACAATTTCGTCTTTTTCATTTGATTTTGGCATTCTATTAAAAACATTGGTATTGTTTTCCGATATATTTTTTTTTGCAACTTACGGTATATATTATCTTATTTTGCCATTTTTTGTACGATTTACCGTATACTGACAGGAATTTAGGTCAAGGGTCCCAAAAATGTCCCAGAAAAGGTTTCTCTTTTTATACAAGTCTGGTGCCCTGTAGGAGCCAGAGGGAAAATGCATAGACAGAATCAGTAAAAATTAACTTAAAGTTTATGAATAAATAAACAAAATCTCAGTGTTCCATGCAGGTACTTTTATATATCTTCGATTTCTTGTTAGTCAAATATTGATCAAGTCTAAGTGTATCAGAAGGTTGTTGCAGTTTCTTTCCCAGATGCTCCAGTCAGGATGTGGCTGTACCTTCTGTGTGGCGCCACCTTACTGATAGCGTATGTACTGCACACACTGCTCACCACCTCAGGCAGCAGTTATGGAGGCAACAGTCTGGAGGCATTCATAAGTCATGAAGGTTTGTACAAATCAAATTATATCAAAGGTCTTCCATACAATATTTTCCTCTTAGGCTGAGTGCACCAGTTTACTAAATCTTAGTTCTGTGACACTTAGACAAATATGTACCTTGATCTGAAGTGTGAGTCATTGATTACTTGTACTTGCGGAAGTATTGTTTTGGGTGGCAGAGCTGTGGATTTGTGTGCCTGCTTGTCCAGAGTAGGTTGACAACACTTTGGTTAGGGAAGATTGACAGGCAAGGGGAAAAGACACAGGTCAGGGACAGGAAATGGGGTGAACTTGAGAGTACAAGTAGGCTTACAGCAAGTACGTGAGTTGACAAGCAGAATGACAGGATAGAGATCAAAAGGTCAGACACAGGAAATGGTCACGAAAACCCAAAATACTTTCTGGAAGTCTAAAATGTCTGATTTCTTGTTAATTGTACTTTGATGGATAACGTTAAGGCCATCATAGAAAGAATGTCTAATATTCTTTTTGTTGTTTCTAAGGTGACCCAGAAACAGATCAGTTGATTGACACATCTGCAGACAGATACCTGGTGAACTACACCGACCCTGGGAAACAAGTCCTGGTCATGTTTGGCACTGAATATGGCTGTAGTGAGGAGGTGGCCAAAAAACTCTTTGACAGGTAATTTTTCACATAAGCCCTTTATTATACATGGTGCTTTTTCGCACTTGATTTCCCTCATGTATAGTCTTAATTAACTTCCATATCCAAAATGGTTGTATCATGTTTTTTTGCTGGTCAAATCAGTCCTACAAAAATGTTTGAATTGTTAATTCTTATAAAAATGTATGACTTGCTTTACTCTCTCCCCTACCCAATGGTGCTGCAGTGTTGCATCCCTGCGACTAGATGGCAGCGGTGCACGGCTCCAGCCCAGACTGGTGAATGCCCAGCAGCACAGTGCAGTGGACTGGAGTCAGGAGTGTGTGCTGCTGCTGGTCATATCCACCAGTGGGGATGGTGAGGGCTGTCTCTGAAGTTTTTCTGCAAAGGGTGGCTGTCAAATGTCAAATGTCCTTCTATTAAGACAGCAATGCCAGCAAATATACAAAATCAATTCCATTCAAAAGATGACTATCCCTTTCTTTCTTTCTTTCTTTCTTTCTTTCTTTCTTTCTTTCTTTCTTTCTTTCTTCCTTTCTTTCTTTCTTTCTTTCTTTCTTCCTTTCTTTCTTCATTTCTTTCTTCATTTCTTTCTTTCTTTCATTCTTTCTTTATTGAGATTGCAAAAAGACAATATCCTTTTTATTGGAAAAAAATTCAGCAAAATACTGTGACTTCATTTCACAGTAGCTATAGAATGGAAAGGGTTTTAAGTTTGCAGTTTAAACAATTCTTTAGCACTGTAGTAATGCATTGCAGATGCCTATTTGTGGTGGGGAGGTCACTATGAAAATAGAATCAACTTGAACATTTCCAGATCACCCAATTATGCAACCTGCAAGTATGGTAACTACAGAGCTCTACAGGTCAAATTTAATTACTGATAACTCAATAACAGTCACAATGATGTGTACTACAGAATATTTTGAACGAAGAAAGCTCAGTACAATTCACACATCAACTGCCATTGGAATATCCTACTGGTATATGTTTTTTTTTCTAATTTTATTAAATTTTGTTATTCTTACCTAGGTGTTCCACCAACGGATGCAAGAGACTTTTATGACTGGATGTTGGGCACACAAGACGTGGAAATGTCTCATCTGCACTACTCTGTCTTAGCCTTGGGAGACTCGAACTACCCACACTTCTGTAGGACTGGAAGAAGTCTGGATAAAAGGTAGGTCTTAGGGATGGTACAGTATAGGGGAGGGGGATAGCACATCAGCACCAAGGCTGGGGATGGTACAGGATAGTACAGGGTGGGGGATGGCAGATCAGCACCAATGCTGGGGATGGTACAGGATAGTACAGGGTGGGGAGATGGCACATCAGCACCAAGGTTGGGGATGGTACAGGATAGTACAGGGTGGGGGATGGCACATCAGCACCAAGGCTGGGGATGGTACAGGATAGTACAGGGAAGGGGATGGCACATCAGCACCAAGGCTGGGGATGGTACAGGGTGGAAGATGGCTCATTTTGTATACAAAGGTTTCATTGAGGTAACTTTGATAGCTCCCATTGCTGTAATGTTAATAAATCTTGTCTCTAAACATTTCTGTATCTTTAGACTGACAGACCTGAGAGCCACCCAACTTGTGCCCCGCTCTGACGTGGACCAGGAAGACTGGAGTGTCATAGACTCCTGGGTGGATGCAGTCCTGGATGTGCTGCCTGCTGTTGCCATAGAAACCAAACTGGACTACCTCTCGCTTGACGCAGTGTCCTGTGACCAGGCATACAACAGAACAAGGCCTTTTATGGCAACTATGATGGTAATGAAAAGTATTTTTGGCAAATGCATTCAAAACAAATAACAAGAAATGAAAACACTCCTTTTCTATTCAGTGGTTTGATTAAAAACTTCAAAATTCATTGCTGAAGTTGTAAACCTAGAATACTGACTTTGTGGCTCCTATGGTAGCATCTTTGGGGCTGCCATAGGATGCCTTGACTTGTTGTTTTGTTTCTTGCCCACTTCATTGATTTCCTGCAAAAGTCCAAGAACCAACAAATCAAATTGGTGTGGCCTTATCTTCCTGTACTACTTACCTTTTCAGGTGAAAAGAAACCTGACAGTACAGGAGACAGAGGAGGACAAAGAGACCATCCACTGTGAGTTTGACCTGACTGGAAGTGGCTTGACCTTCACAGCAGGTACGTATGTACATGTATGTATGTAAGAGGTCTTGGATTAAAGACTGGTATAATCCAGCTCGTCGGCAGAACATGCTAGGCCTGTGCAAAACCTGGATTTTCCATGGTCTTCGTTGGATGTTTGGTCCATGCTGCATCAGAATTTTGCCTGTTGCAGATGATATCTTTTCCGACATAACATTTGGAAACTACAGACGGGATGTTAACCTCAAATGCACAGGTACGACCTTATATGAGACGTTCTGCCGAAGTGCTATGCACAATACATGACGGGCCTTGTGCAGGTGCGCAGTACGTTCTGCCGATGTGCTCTATAACCCTTGTGTTTCTACAAATGAATTCATGAAGATGATTAAACAATCCTAGATAAAGATATTATAAGTTTCCATTCATTTAAGAGTTGCAACTGCTTACCAGCATGCTGACTCTTGTTATAATATTGTAATATATAGTGCGATTTCAATATTCCAACAGGAGATGCGTTGGGAATCTATCCACAGAATAACCCAGCTGAAGTCAGAGCAGTGCTGAAAGCCCTGCAGGCATCAGGAACAGAAATGGTGGTGCCTCCAACATGGGTGTATCAGCCTCAACCAGGTATAGACATAGAGCGAGCTGAGATGATTTGGAAATGAAGTATTATTGCCGTAAAGTTATACTCCACAAGGATCACTCAGATGTATATATTCTAGCAATGTCAAGAGCAGACAATCTTTAAAAAAATGGTATTATGTTTACCGCAGGAAAACATATTGTTTTTACTCAGTTTCTTCCTCTGCTTCTTCTTCTTCTCCAAACAGTGACCTATGACGTGACCAGTGACATGATTTGTTGACATCTGTCACCATGGTGACTGGTGTTGGGTTACGTAATGTTGCAATTTCATGGTCTGCTCTGCTCCTGTCACCATATACTAGTAGTACATGTATGTGAATGTGTTTGAGTAAGAATTAATAGAGCAGACCATGTCCGAAGGTAAACATTATGCATTTGCTTTGCAAATGTTACTTCTCTAGTTTGCCTGCATTTCAGCTGGGAAAATTTGTCTGGAAGAGGCGTTGATTAAGTACTATGACCTGAAGCATGTCAACCCAGAACTTGTCAAGCTCCTCACCAAACACACGTCGGACAAGAGGGAGAGAATAGAGGGAGAAAGACTGCTGAAAGATGGGGTAATGTCTCTCACTCACTATTTAGTTTTAACATTTAGTTTTTTTCCATCTCCTGAGGGTTAGATGTGCTAGCTGAGGCTTGATGGCAGCCTGCCATTTGCCTCTATTCGATGGATTAATTCATTAGCAGAGGTGGGGGAAGTCCTGCCTTACATGTATGCTATCAATCCATCTCTTTTGGTTATCTATTGTACCAGCAATGACAGTTATGAAGCAGGTTTAAACTGTAATTTCCAACACAAGAAATTGGACTTACCCAATTTAAATTTTTGACTGTACAACTCCAGTCTTTGTCAAGGAATGAACAATCCACAAAAACTGCAGTTGTAGAGTAACTGTTAAAATGTGGGAAAGTCCAAATTGTTGTGTTGACAACAAGATTTTTAACTTGTTTCATAATGACTTTTACCAACACAGATGAACTTTCAAGATAAGCATTGACAGATAGCCTGGTTACCAAACCTATTATAGCTCCTGAGTCCTACAGCCTCTCCGCAAATAGTTTTGCAGAGAGGATGTAGGACTCGGGAGCTATAATAGGTTTGGTAAGCAGGCTATTGACAGACTGTTGTTGCTATTTTTCAGCTGTCCAAAAGCAACATTGTCCTCTGGAGCTACCTTCAGTCCAACGAGGTGGTAGATGTGCTGAAGAAGTTCCACAGAGCCCACCCACCCCTACATCTGCTGCTAAGCAAGCTGAAGGGCCTTCAGCCAAGATACTACTCCATAGCCTCTTCTCCTGTACTGGTGTGTACTGTACATGGATCTTGTTGATGTTTTGTCTTCGTTGTGTTAACCTTATGTTTGTTTGTTTGTTTGTGTGGAAAAACTGCATACAGGAATTACCAGTAAGTAAAGTACCTCTAAACATAAGGATAACTGAGTTTCATATTCTTTCACAGCTCAGATTTCAGTACCTGTGGTGTTTGGTTATATTATGTAGCAAGTCACAGGACAGGGTTGTAGGGGCTGGTTACCATATACATGAATGTGTCTCAGTAAGAATAAACAGAGCAGTAGTTTTTTAGACTGGACCATGTGAATGTAAACATTATGCATTTGCTTCAATTGCAAATATTACTTTCCTATTTAAGTTACTTCTGGTAGTAAGGGCTCATTGAAACAAGGTATAATGTCATAGTACCAAGACACTCATGTAACCTTGATGTTTTATCTAAAACAGGACCCAGAGAAGGCCAGTATAACCGCTGCAGTGCTACGATACAGTCTACATGGAATCCCTCGTGCAGGGGTCACCACTACATACCTTCAGGACAGGCTCCAGGTCAACCATTCATGTCCTGTCTTCATCAGCCAGAACCCTGACTTCAGGTTGCCTAGCAACAACAACCTGTCAATCATCATGATTGGCCCTGGAACAGGCATTGCACCATTTATGGCTTTTATACAAGAAAGAGGTAAGTTTCTAATTCAGTCATTTCTCAGAATTTTTGAATGCAAAGGAAAAACCAACAAATGAATGCTTCACCCATCTCAATTTCACTTTCTTTCCTTCTTTCTTTCACAATCACACTTTTTATTTCATGTTAGTTGCTACAAGTGCATCAGGAGACAACCTTCTCTACTTTGGTTGCCAACATAGAAACAAGGATTTTCTCTACAAAAATGAACTAGGTAGGTCGTGCAGTTGTTACTTTTATGACCTTGTAGTTGTGCAAAATTGAACAATGTGCTATCCTGTTCTATCCCCAACCTTGGTGCTGATGTGCCACCCCCCCTGTACTATCCTGTACCATCCTCAGCCTTGGTGCTGATGTGCCATCCCCCACCCTGTACTATCCTGTACCATCCCCAGCCTTAGTGCTGATGTGCCATCCCCACCCTGTACTATCCTGTACCATCCCCAGCCTTGGTGCTGATGTGCCATCCCCCACCATGTACTACCTTGCACCATCCCCAGCCTTGGTGCTGATGTGCCATCCCCCACCCTGTACTAACCTGTACCATCCCCGGCCTTGGTGCTGATGTGCCATCCTCCACCCTGTACTGTCCTGTACCATCCCCAAGCTAGGTGCTGATGTGCCATCCCCCACCATGTACTATCCTGTTCCATCCCCAGCCTTGGTACAGACGTGCCATCCCCCTCCCTGTACTATCCTGTGCCATCCCCAGCCTTGGTACAGACGTGCCATCCCCCTCCCTGTACTATCCTGTGCCATCCCCAGCCTTGGTGCTGATGTGCCATCCCCCACCCTGTACTATCCTGCACCATCCCCAGACTTGGTGCTGATGTGCCATCCCCCACTCTGTACTATCCTGCACCATCCCCAGCCTTGGTACAGACGTGCCATCCCCCTCCCTGTACTATCCTGTACCATCCCCAGCCTTGGTGCTGATGTGCCATCCCCCACCCTGTACTATCCTGCACCATCCCCAGCCTTGGTACAGAAGTGCCATCCCCCACCCTGTACTATCCTGTACCATCCCCAGCCTTGGTGCTGATGTGCCATCCCCCACCCTGCACTATCCTGTGCCATCCCCAGCCTTGGTGCTGATGTGCCGTCTCCCACCCTGTATTATCATGTATCATCCCCAAGAGATGGAAATCTGGGTTAAACTAAAACAGCCTATTCCTCCCACTAACATTTCCAGAAACTTGGGCCAAAAATGGGAGCTTGAGACTAAGAGTTGCCTTCTCCAGAGATCAAGACAAGAAAGTTTATGTGCAAGACCTGCTTAGGAAGGATGCCAAGGAAATTTTGAGACATCTTCAGGTACATTGCATTTCTCAATTGTTCTTTAAACTGTGCCGAAGTACAAGACTGCACCTTGAATTTGTGTTACTCTGTTAATACAGTCTGAGGTATTTTTTTGGGCGGGTTTGTGTGTATGCTTGTCTAAGACAACCAGCAGAGATGGTTGCAGGGAGAGTGGGTGGATGTTTGGTTACAGTTGATTGACAAGGAGGTCAAGCCTGAAGGTGACCCAGCATGCAACAGGTGGGAGTATGTGGGTGGTACATGGAGGAATTCAGGAAGTGGTGGAATGTGTGTAATACCCGATTATTATGTCAAACAATAAAGTTCTGGAAACTTTGATTTTTTGTAATTGATGCTGTTTTCCCCAGAATGGAGCTCACATCTACGTGTGTGGTGATGCCAGACACATGGCACATGATGTGCACCAGGCACTGACAGACATATGTCAGGAACAGGGAGACATGGACTCTGAACAGGCCAGGACATTCCTACTGGAGCTAGAGCATGCAAACAGATACCAGAAGGACGTGTGGGTAACCTGACTTTTCAAGGACTTCACCCTTTGGCATACCTGATATTTGGAGCACTAAGTCACATACCGGGTAGCATTTATTAAAAATCATGCCATTTACCTTAAAAGCACTTGGACAGAGCCAACTGTTATACCCATGGGAAAAAAGATAATCTCTTCCAGAAGGTATATCTTCTTTGAAGAACTGTACCAGGGATGGGACAACAGAACTGTTGTCATCCACTTGATTGTCTTTTTCCTTCTAGTATTGCACTTCAAAAGAATATACTAGTAGACCTGACAATGTCCACGTTAAAAGGTAGTCAGCAAAAACAAACATGGTAAGCTGACGAATCTACAAAACTATTACATGAGGTTGCTTTATTTCATTTTCTATCAAATATCTGCTTGCAAATTGTCTTCTGTATATGAAGTAGAACATTTTATATGCAAATTTGTGTCGCCATAACAAGCTTATATCTCAGGGAGTTTTCAAGTCAATTGCTCAGGGAATACCGGTAAATACAATGTGTACTCTATTCATTGGGATCAGCCAAAGTTAGTTTGTTTGTTTGTTTGTTTGTTTTTATTTGTTTACCCAGGGTGTACATATCGCCACTAAGGCGTTTTTCAATGTGCCCTGCAGGCATACATAAATAAAATATACAAGAAAATAACAGATATAACAAAATGATAAGTCAACTTATAAGTACAAGTTAAAGTCAACTTAGTACAAATAAAAGTAAAAGTACTATATAATGCCGCAACTCAGTAAGGTGGTAATAAAACAAACTTGTCAAACCAAGAGCCACAACTCATAGTAATTAAGGCAATAATACAAAAACAAATCAAGGAAATAACAAAGGAATATAACAAAGGAATATAACAAAGGAATTTGCATATCAATGCTGTTTGATAACAAGTTATGATGTGGCAACACACTCCTGGTTGTAAAGGCGCTTAAAGGAAGAAACAGAATCTGCTCTTTTTAATTGAGGTGGGAGTGAGTTCCATAATGTGGCACCAGTACAAGAGAGGGATTTATACATGTACTGTTTATGTCCAGTCTTGTCAACATGTCAACATGGACAATTACATGTCTGATACTCTGTAAACTATTTATTTTACAAGATTTTAAAGAACAGCTGTTATGTATTTAAAAAATATGTGTACGGTATAGCAGTTGTTTGTTTTTGTCGCAAAGCTGATTTTTTTTATTTTGTTAATAGAGCTCAAGTATACTGACCAACCCAATGTTGATTTTTTATTTTGTTAATAGAGCTCAAGTATACTGACCAACCCAATGTTGATTTTTTATTTTGTTAATAGAGCTCAAGTATACTGACCAACCCAATGTTGATTTTTTATTTTGTTACTGGAGCTCAAGTATACTGTCCAACCCAATGTTGATTTTTTATTTTGTTACTGGAGCTCAAGTATACTGTCCAACCCAATGTTGATTTTTTATTTTGTTACTGGAGCTCAAGTATACTGTCCAACCCAATGTTGCCGTATGAACTTATTTCTATGACTGGAATAATAACAATAGTGATAATAATTCTCTATTACTATTAACATGTAAAGAAACGGACAACAAAGAACGACAAAGACATTACACTTGTGTTTGTCGCTAGATTTATTATGAGCCTTAAACGCTGGTTACAAATTATTTTATGCGGCCTACACATATATGTTCTTATGATTTAATTTGCACATTTCTACTCGCTATATATGTACTTTTATAAAACCTGTATATTAATATACTCGTATATTTGGTAAATATGACAACCATTTGCAAAAAATACACGAAAGGTTCTTAGTAAAACCAACAATCAATAAGTTGCACCATTACATTCAATTGAACATATCTATAAGATGATTAATGCAATGGTAGTATGAGGCTTTAGAAATTGCTTTTTGATATTCAGATATAAACTGAATCTATTTTCAAACGACAGAACAAAATGTACGACCGTTATAGGTTAGCATATAATTGATAACAACAACGACAATAATTGATAATATGGCCACAGACTACTACGATACAATAGACAATATGACCACATGTCGTCCTTGAATATATCGCTACTTCTAGCCTCTACCAGGCTTCGGCAGGCGGCTGGAAAGAGTAGAAATTGGCCAAATAGAGAGATAACATGCCGAGGGAGTTGGTCCGCTACAGAGGCTGCATTTTGCCGCACCTTTCCAGCCACCTCCCGAAGCCTGGCAGAGGCTAGACAATTTCTACTCTTTCCAGCCACCCACCAAAGCCTGGTAGAGGCTAGCATTATTCGACCTTTTCTACATCATTTTATGGCATAGTACCTTCGCATCACGTTCTTGGCGACTTGTCTCTCCTTCATGGTCCGTACAAGAAGATCCAGTCTAGTCAGACAATCCTCCAGTCTTTCTGATGCCGGCATGTCATCCTCTGGAAATCATCAGGAAATACAACAAGGACTTGCATCAGTCGCTACCAACGTATAAATGTGCTTCCGTAAAACGCTAATATAATGATAAGCTAATGTAATCACACCAGGATGAGCGTCTAAACCTTTATGTGCTGTACTAGGTTATTCCTCGTCTCGTTCGAACCAAGTTTTAAAGAATCTTCCATTTTTAAAATACACGCTGTTTTCCGTTGGGGATTTAATTTCCTTCACACCTACATGTACCAGGCCGGTGCATGAATTGCCTATTCTATATAGCTGATTCTTGGTCTCTCTCGGCTTCTTCTTCCCTTTGTAGGCTACTAAAAGACTATGGGTCGATGCTACAGCTTCAGGGTGGCTCATATGAGCAACCGGTTTGTTTCCTTCTGCGTGACCTTATTTTCGCAGTAGCTGGTTAATCTCGGCACAGCTGCTCGTGAACTAGTGGGTTACATCTAGAGGCCGTCTTACCCTGACTTGCAGAGTTTGTCAGACCGAGGAAGTTGGACAGCCTCCTCCACAGCTCCCGCAGGATCTCCTGATGTTCCTGAGGCGGCGTGTAACCTCTCATCACCACGAGTGCATCGTTGATGATGGCCATTAGGATGTTGATAATGACGATGAAGACGACGCACAGATAAGTGTAAAGGAACAGCGGCCCAATGATCCTGCTGGCGCTTAAGATTTCATTGAATTCAAAATACCCGAGAGCACATACGAAGAGACTCTTCCCTGAGGCAGCTATCGTAGAGTATCCCTGTAAATACGTTCACACAATACATTTGTAGTCTTGCAACTAGTCTTCGTTAACCAAACTTGACTTCCGTTAAATCCTGATGGCATTGGCCGCATTGTTACTAGCACTGTTTAGTTTACTTGTTTGTTTCTCCTGGCTATAGACAAAATATAAACCATGTGATGATGGCACCCTGGGGGCCCATATTTCGGTACCAAACATTTTTGCATAGATCGGCACTTGACGAAGACACCAGTACAGCGTGGCGCTGATGATCTAAATTGTCTACCAAAAACGAAAACAATAATGCATCCACACCTGTATTTTGAGTCCAAAGACTAAATGTCCCAGCTGCACAAATGAGAGAAACAGGAAGGTGAAGTAAACGGCGAAGCCTGTAACTTCTGGCGCCATGCGCCGCATTGACGTCATCAACACAGACAACATCGGGTTGAAGCGGAGGAGGCGAAGGAACTTGAAGATGTTGATGAAGGCGACGGCGGCCACCGCCCAAACAAACGCCTGGTTCCACAAGACCGCCTGGTCGAAGCTGATGAATGTTGATGAATCTAAAAAAAAGGAAGAGTTGATTTGAATAATGGACAATGGTTTTTAGAGACATCTATGAGTATGAAAGCTGTTGTCTGTCTATATGCCCCATCAATGTATGACACATATCTACAAATCTAAAAACCAATGAAAGAAAATCAATGATGCTTTACAAAAAAAATTATTACCACGATAATGGAGAAGCTTATCCAGAGTTTTCCTCGACGTTATGTAGTCTACAGCAAAAACGGCAACGGCGCCGAAACAAACCAGAATGTTGACAATCTCGAGAAGGTTCCACGGTTGCAGGCAGTAGCTTCTCCCTTGTTCCTTCATCAGTTTTTACTTCCCCTGTACAGCGTGTAGAGGAAACAGACCACATACAGGATGTGCAGGGCCATGAGGATGTATCCAGCCGTGCCGACGAACCGATGTAAGCGGTAGGTCCACACAGAGTGGGACGGCACCGCCCTCCCG